CAGAGAAAGACAACAAAAAGGATAGCACGCATGTCAAATACTGAATTTCTCTGAACTACCAACCTTTATATCTGAACTAAGGTTTGGGAGGTATGTCAGGGACTAACCTTCGTCAGTTTGTTGGCGTGATGAGATTAGAGAAATGTTGATCCCTCTTGTTTTTCAAAACCAACAACTTCCTATAAGTGCATTTCAAAGTGCTATGTGGTCGGTTTGGGCTTGTGAAAATATCCTCCTTTTTGAAGAAAACAAATTACTTGTGAAATATGTTTGACCAAGGAAAGGTCATATAAGCAAATGCTATAATAAAAAAATTACCCATTCCGCAAAATCCAGCCATCTCTGTTGTGGAACTCCAGACCAGAGAAGGTGTCTATCACTACCCAAGCTCCATGCTCAGCACAAACAGAAAGCATATCTTTTATCTCGCCCTCGCCGTACAGGAAAAAACAAAAGGGTTAACTGTAGGGCCAGAAATATCCAATCGCTGATATGCTTTCTCATTCTTGTATGCATTATCCAGATCTGCTGGTAGGGCGCTCGGCTCAATCTTGAAGCCTGAACTTACATTTGCTCGAATCATCAATGTTTTCGCATTCTTGGTGCCCATGGGGAATAGAAGGTGCCTTGTTCCAGCATAAGGCAAAGGACAAGCTTGTTCAAAATACTTCAGCACAACATTGGAGCTTGTCAGGTAAGACCACTCTAGTTGCTCTGAAATATCTAGGAACAATCGGGAAACCATCTTCGGTTGTACTGGGCATCCTGTGAATGGCAACACTCATTTAGTTCAACACCAGTCAATGAAAAAAATTAAGGAGCAGCATAAAAAATCAACCAAAATGTTACAAAATGATTTAAAAACATAATGCCCAAATCAGGAATGGTCATTGTGAATTGGCTCAGAGAATGTGAACCATATAACCAGCAAAGTGCTATATATAACAGTATAACCGAAGATTATCACAAAATTCATTAACTGTCAACCTCTACCGGCACAGTTGTGCCCATTAAAAATATCATCAAATTTGAGTGTTACATAATATTTCAGCAGCACTACATGAAAGTTGAAAGAATCATGAGCCGAGACCCGAGCAAGTTAGGTGCGAGCTTTAGTGTTGAAGTATCTTTGTGCATAGTACTATGATACATTACACGGAGGTGAAAATTAAATTTAACAAACACGGTGATCACTAAGCTGCCATTGTCAGCAAAGTTAACAATAGCATGCATGGACACCATGCTTAAATGGAAACCTTACTTGATGAGGACCTGAAGTGCTACATTCTTCATGCTATTAAGACATTGGAGGAATTAGGAATATATACTACATTATACACCTGTCAATATCTGTCGGCATATAATTATACCACATCCAACAAAAAGAGCCTGCTATCGAGCAAAAGGAACCGGTAACAAATGATGGAATCGTGCTTGTTTCAGCACTACAGCTGGTATTGTTGGCCCTGAACCAAGTTCATATAAATACCCCTTAGCATAGTTACGATGTATATGTGCGAACACAAATACATATAATTAGGCTGCTTCTGGATAATTATTGTTTCTGCAAAGAAATTGAGAAATTGAGATTTGTTTAGAAATCAGAATACGTGCAAACCCCCAGCAGTGAAATGACACAACATACTGAGAAATACCTTAATCATCATTTAAAATGCATGCCAATGAATATCTTATAAAATTTGAGAAATATATGATAGACTTGTAACAATAGTTTATGATGCTCTTTGCCACTGGAAACAACTTAAATTTCTTCAGATTATCTCAAGAGAAAGATAAATTTAAACAAAAAAACATGATTTGCAAGATTAGGGACTATTGGGATTATCTGATATAGCCAATGATAAAAAAAACATTTGGCTTCAGATATTCAGGTGAGCAATTGAAAACAAATACAGACAACTATATTGAGCATGAATGATATAGTCACCATAGGAATGTCCAGTCTTTGTGCCTTAGAGGAGAAACATGAATGCATACATCATTGGACTTCAGATATTTAGTTGAGCAATCAAAAACAAACACGGACAACTTTATTGACCATAAATGGTAGTCAACATAGGAATGTCCAGTCTGGTGCCTTAGGAATTAGAAGAACCTCCTTCGCCTCCACCTGAGACACCTTTGGCACCTGCACGCGCACAAACAACAGAGACATTAAAACCAATCATCCTACACTTCAAGAGCATGCCAAAATTCAGAATCAGCATGCCGTGCACGGGCTCGCCAGGAATCCAGTGGACTTAACAAAAGAATGGAAACTGAACCGAGTGTGCGCACGCTTAGATTTATATTGGATTCTAAATTATGTGTCATTTTTCATGTTTGCATTTCAGTGCAACGCTTACAATCAAGATACTTCTACTATTCAGCATGATTTCACATGAATCTTTGTGACAGTTGTGTTTGACTTGTATTGAAACATCCGATGGCTGAAACATTGAGTAAGGAAAGAGTGATGAAAATTCGAAAAGCAGAGACGATTACGCCCCATGGCCAAAAGAATAACAAATTCTTCAAGAAGGTTCAACCAGATCAAAACTGGAATAATCAACAGAGGAATTGAAACTGAAACCAAGGTGCTTATCAACTAAGCAGAACCAAGAATATCTTCCAATCAACAAGATTCAGGAAACTGAGGCAGACATGAGCATTTTAGAGGACCTGAAACAACATGCACTTTACAAGAAAAATTGGACTGGTCTCTCATGTCTAATATTATAGTATAGAACTATAGATTGATTGACGCTCTTGCCTAACATGCTGAATTCTACGCATGAAAAAGCATCACCTGGAGGGTCAATTCTAGACATGAAAATTAACGTAATGGATTGGATTTGGAGGATGATTGACGCTCAGGTCTGGTGTGCATACATGGCTGAATCAAATGTTGGACTTGGCCGGTGTCTACTCGGCTCACGGTGCTTGTTAACAGGGGTCAAGTGGAAGCATACCTCTGGTGTAGACGCCGCGACATTGGAGTGCTCAACGGATGTTTGTGTACCTCCGGCGAACTTGGAGCTTCTTCCTCCTGCGAACATGAGACAGGTGATGCCCCTGACATGGACTTAAATCCGTGCGTGTCCCATGCCTTTCTGTAGTTGCAGTGTCCCGCATTATGTGTCTTGACTGTCGTATCTGAAAGTGATGAGAATTTTGTTTGCAATCAATTAGGTGATGATATGAAGACTTCTGTACCCACTCAACAATTGGAAAAGCAGGCCATGGATCTTCAGAAAGAAGAGCAAAATAAGCTAGTTGAGGACCAGTGTCAGGAAGATGCAGCAGAAACTGCACCGGTTTCAAGATGGTAGCACTGAAGAAATAGAAGAAGAGGCCATGGATCCTCATAACGTGTTAACAGGGGTCAAAGCTGTTTGCCCAGGAGCTGCTGAATGGGTTCGCCGGTTGCGTGCTGAAAGACGTGGGCTGAGATGGCTGGCGATTCAGTTCAGCGACATTGGCAGCGCTCTCGTCGAGCTGCTCGGCAAGGACGCCTTCCTCGGTGAGATCGAGGGCAAGGACCGCCGCGCCACCGCCAGCGCCCGCGGCGGACGCGCGCTTTAGGAGAAGGTGGAGGACGAAGGCGGCGCTGGACCCGTGGCCGCCGGCGGCGGCGCCGGTTGGCGCACGGAGAGGCGAGGTCGAGGAGGAGGACGGCTGCGCGGCCTGGCTGGGGCCTCCGAGTGGCGCGCGGAGAGGCGCGACGGGCGCTGCTGGTGGTCGCCCACGACGGCGGATGGCGAGGGGCTGCCGGAGCGGTGCAAGGAGGCGCGAGGCATGGGCACAGGAGCTCGGGCGCGAGCGCGCCTCTCCGCGCCGTCCATCCTCACGGCGAGCGCCCTCCATCCTTCCGCGCGAGGCATGGCGGCCGCTGGCGCACGACGGGTTGGGCGAAGTCGCCGGCGCAGGACAGAATGGATAAGACGAAGGGGAGGAGTGCGGACTGAATTGAAATGACTATAGGGTTTCTCTGTAAAAGTGAAACGTTTTTCTAGAGTGCCACTAAAACAGGGACTGCGGGTTGATTTCAAAGAAACAGAGGGGCTTTTTCGCAAAAACGCCGACGACGTACGACCAGAAGCACTCCGTGCTTTATTAGTAGGGAAAGAGGGAAAGATGTATACAGACAGTACTTCATACCCCGTCAAAAAAAAAACTTCGTACGTGTTGAAATCGTTTTGGTCTAGGGCGTGGCTGCAGCTCATGAGACGAGCCCAACTATGTCGACCTAAGGAATCGACTGACCGTAAAGAAAAAAAATTGGGTGTTTGGTATATAGCCAAACCGGTAAATATTACTCAAGGGTGAACCACGGGTTCATGTTAGAAGGGTTACAAGGTAGGCCCAAGGAGAGGTAGTGACGTCAAAACAAATCATTTGCCTTTTGACTAAGTTCTTTAAACCTATGACCATGAGTCTGGAGCGTGGAATCATCAATAATGTTCCACAAAGTAAGGTGAGGGTGGTGAGTCTCGTTGCATAAGACTTTAGCGTTCTTGAGTTCCAAATTTTCCACAAAATGGTGAGGAGGACCTGCCACATGTCTTTGTCCGTGTGAAGCTCGGCAGGTACTCCCTCCGTAAAGAAATATAAGAGCATTTAGATCATTAAAGTAGTGATCTAAACCTCTTATATTTCTCTAAAGAGAAAGTGCTTAATTACTGATTGCAAAATTAGTGTAAACATTAAGGTGCCTTCATAGTGAACAAACCCTGTTGTGATAATAATAATTAGGTAAGGTACCAATACATCAAGCGCAAGTTTTCTGATCTACAGTACTAATTAACAAGCCTTAATGCACACACCATAATCAAGCACGACCCAAACAATCCTAGCTAGTTATAACAATCAAATCCGTCTGCATACTCGCTCACCACACCATAGCTAGGCGTGCATGCATGCCCGCCTAAAATTTAAACAAGAAAGTTCCTCTCAGTCGGTCGTTGAGAAGGACAGTAGGGTACAGTAGCAATTCAGTTTCAGACATTGTCGGAGGTGGTGGAGGAAGGCGGGAGGAGAGGCTGGGTGATGGAGGAGGCCAGCTTGGCGCTCCGGACCTCGCGCTCGCCACTGCCGGAGGAAGCTGCGGCCATGACCGCCGCCTCCTTGCTGATGCGCGACCTCTCCTCGCTCTTGCCCCAGAGCACGAGGTAGAGGCCGGTGATGATGAGCGCGGCGCCGATGATCCCGCCGAGGTAGAACTTCTCGCCGAGGGTGAGGGAGGCCATGATGGCGACGACGAGCGTCTGCACGGGCTGGTACACCGCCACGAACACCGGGCCCCCGCGGTCGATGCACCAAATCTGCACTGCGAACGCCACGCCGGACGCGATGAAGCCCTGCATGTATGTAGTACCGTTTTCATTTGCCATGTCAGCTGCCACCTTACGTTTGCATAATCATGTCCATATCTCTTGAGAGTCAAAAGCAAGCAGCTTAAGATCTGAGACATGGATCATCATGCCTTCCACTCACTGACTTGATATATATTTACACTGAATAAAATAATACTATAATTTGCTAAAGGAGTACTGCTACAGATCGTTGATCCTGACAGATAGATAGGTGTACAGGTTGTTGCATTGCACCACTTTTAGTCAATTTGTTTACCACTACTCCTTTAGCAAATTATCATTTTCATTTGCACCTCAGACAGAGAGTGGTAATTAGTTTGTGATCGGGATTCCAAAGCACTTCCTCTGTAAACTAATATAAGAGTGTTTAGATCGCTATTTTTAGTATTCTAAACGTTTTTATATTAGTTTATGGAAGAAGTACTAGTAGTGTAAAATACATTCTTATATTATGAGACGAAGGAAGTAATTAATTCTTAACTGCCAAATTATATAGGAACCTAATGAATATGCTTACGGCGTAGAGGATGGTGAAGACTTCGGAGCCGGAGTGGAAGACCCAGGCGCCGGCGTCCCTCTCGAAGAAGGCGGCGATGATCAGGAACTGGATGACGCCGAAGAAGCAGGTGTAGGAGGTGACGGACAGCCTCGCGGGGTACTTCTTGAGCACGGGCGCCTGCAGCACCAGCCAACCGGACCACGAGAGGCAGTGCCCGATGAGGTACACGCACCCGAGCGTCCAGTTCTTGCCCTCCCCGGCCACGGCCGCCAGAAACGGCACCTCCTGCTGCAACGACGGCTTGTCGTCGGCAGGGGCGAAGATGGTGGGGCCCTGGTAGAGCGTGATGACAGACGCGCCGGCGACGCACGCGAGCGTGCCCAGCACCTTGGCGACGCCGTCGCGGCGGTCGAGCCGCACCTTCTCGATGCGGAGCGCGGCGGCCATGCCGAAGGTGATGGCCGGCACGGAGTTCTGGATGGCGGAGGCGAAGGTGGGGGAGGTGTTGTCGAGGCCGAGCAGGTAGAAGCCCTGGTTAGCGGTGATGCCGCAGAGGGCGAGGAAGAAGAACTGGACGGCGAAGCTGAGGGTGAGCCTCGGCCGGTCCTTCTTCTCGAGGAAGTAGGCGAAGGGGACGAGGAGGAAGAGCGCGATGATGTTGCGGTAGACGGGGAAGACGAGCTTGCTGATGCCCATGTTGAGCGCGAGGCGCGACACGACGTGGAAGCCGGCGTAGCCGAACTGCAGCGCCAGCATCGCCACGTGGAGCTGCGCCTTCTCCGGCATCCCGCAGACCCGACGGGCATCCACCGCGTCCGCCATTGCTGCTGCCCTTTCCTCGCTTGAGATCGAGCTCGAAGCTGCTGGAGCGAGGTGACGCTGAGAGACGAGAGAGAGGACGGCCTAGGCCAGGAGGGATGAGGTGAGTGAGGAGTGCAGCCAGGGGTGTCTACTATATAGACGACATTCCACTTGGACAGTAGGTGAGCATGCTACAGAGTCAGAGTGACACTCAGCTAGAGGCAGACAGTGAAGTGAGCGATGGTTGGTCGGAGAAGACCTTGATGCATGGGCATAGGCCGACCGACCCCTTCATCCCACTCCTATCATGCATGCCTCAGGATTCCTGAGATCACAGTGGGAAGTATAGTATTTCTCCAGAGCTGTCAATGTCGTAGCTAGGTACGATCCACTTGGGTACCTCCCATGGAAATACTCACACACCTTTAGCAAGCTGTAGTTTTGTGCGTGCTGCAAAGTTGAACCACTACGAAACATCAACCGCTGCTGGCTTTTTTTCCCCGGGAAAACCGTTGTTGGCTTTGTTCAGCTGAACTTTCCAGGCCATGTTTCTCCCCAGCGGAAAATAGCGCACTACCGTTAGGTACCGGCACATCTTTAGCCATTCCTCTCTACGTCAAGGTTAGTGCTACTCCCTCCGTAAAGAAATATAACATCATTTAGATCACTAAAGTAGTTATCTAAACACTCTTATATTTATTTACAGAGGGAGTACTTTTTTTTTAAGATGTCAATCTTTTCCTTACACGAATAAACATCAATAGAAACATAGAGGGGCCCATAGTAACAGTTTTTTGTGTCAGATGAGGAAGGAGAGAAGCCTGGCATGCGCAGAGTTCCCTCTTCAACTAAAGACTTACATTTTATTTTATTTTTATATCATTTTGAATGGCTCATAAATTTGGTACCAAAATTTTGTTTTTGTAACTTTTTAGATTTTACATATTTGGATTATTGGTGAATAAACCGTTAAAACAAGACCGACCTTGAATATGTTATTATAAAATTTTGAACGAGTTTAAAGTACCGATTTAACTCATTTCATATATTTTATAATAACATATTTCACTCATTTCAAAAAATATTTCATAATAACATATTTCACTCATTTCAAAAAATATTTCATAATAATATATTTCACTCATTTCATATAACATATTTCACTCATTTCAAAAAAAAATCATAATAACATATTTCACTCATTTTAAAACAGATTCCACACATCTTAAAACAGAATTCACTCATTTCATATAACATACTTCACTCGTTTTAAAATAGATTTCACACATTTTAAAACAGATTTCACTCAATTCATATAACATATTTCACTCATTTCAAAAATATTTCATAATAACATATTCCACTCATTTCAAAAAAGAATTCATAACAACATATTCACTCATTTTAAAATAGATTTCACATATTTTAAAACTAATTTCTCCCATTTTATATAACATATTCAAAAAATATTTCATAATAACATATTCCACTCATTTCAACAATGATTTCATAAATAACATATTTCACTCATTTCATACTAGCATATTTTACTCATTTCCAAATATATTTCATAAATACATTTTTCACTCATTCCAAATAAACAGTTTCACAAGGTGACATTTCAGTTTCATATTTGGGTTAAATAGGTTCTAGTGAAATAGGTTGATTTCACATCTTTCAATTGACATAGTTTTTTGTAACATTTTTCTAGTGACACTCAAACAGGTAGTCGTTTGACTTAAAAAAACAGACACACCTTATATAAGGAATAGAGGGAGTAGGTTTGTAAGCATGCTCCAGAATGACACTCAGCTAGAGGTCAGGGTAATGGTCTGGCTCTGGCACTGAAGTGAGCAAGGGTTGCAGAAGACCTTCATGTGTAGGCATAGGCCGACCGACCATTTCATCACACACCTATCATGCCTCAAGGTTCCTGAGATCACAGTCCGAAGTCTAGTATTTGTCCAGAGCTGTCAATGTCGTAGGTACGATCCACTTGGGTACCTCCTATGGAAATACACACACACTTTAGCAAGCTATAGTTTTCTGTGTGCTGCAAAATTGAACAACTTGCGATCTTCACTGGCCAACCGCTGCTGGCCTGTTCTTTTGCGGAAAACTGTTGCCGGCTTTGTTTAGCTGGACTTTCAGGCTTAAACTGCAAGAAGCAATAGCAACACTTGTATAGAACAAGGGGCAGCCATTATCTTGTCTCCAAAGAACGAACAAATGAGAAAAGCTGAGAAGTCACCTAGGGCTTACTGGCTAAGGCAGTAGGGCCACGGATGGTGTACTAGACACCAATCCTCACTCCTACCATGATTAAAAGGATAATTAGTTCCTCCAGTTATTATCACGAGAGGCAGCTGCTCGTGTGTGGCACATAGTTGACGGGTCTCATTGACTAACTCATGCTATTCCAAGGAATTACCGCTAGGCAGTAGTTGTTGAGTCTCCAAGTGCACAGGTTTGCAAGAAGTGATAATTTTTTGCTCGGTTGAGAAATCAAGGTATCAATCCATAGAGATAATAACCCTAACTTCTTTGAGCAGTACTACAATACAAATTAAGATTTTTTTTTCTTGTGTCCCAATAGTTTTAGTGAAGTTGTCAATCTCATTCGCTTTGCTAGTTTGCAACAATTGGTTAAAGATATGTTATTTGAAGTGTTTTTTATTTATGGAATAATAAATTTTTGTAAACAAATGAATGTAAATGAGTTTGGAGAAGGTTTCTTACGTAGAAAATTGGACTTTTGTTCATAGGTTCGCTAGTAGTATGACGCCTTCGTAGTCGACGTGAGTCCCTTCGGCCACTGAAGGCACATCGCCGAAAGGGCTGATATAACTTTATGAAAATGCGACTACGAGTTCCAAGTGTAGGACTTGAACCCTGGCGGGTTTGTTCCATCACAATGAACCTAATAGTCTGAGCTACACTCAATTTGGAAGTTTTGCCCCTTCTCGAAGTTATGACCTCCTGGATTTTCTCATATTTTTCTGAGGTCCAGTAGGTCTTGCATTTAATAATTACATGATACTCACCCACAAAAAAAAAATACATGATACTCCATGAATATATCTACAATTTTTATAGTTTTCATGCCATAATTATATAAAATATTTTAATGATTTTTCGTACTAAAATATTTAATATAGTGCAAGAGTATCAGTTTCTATGTCTAGTAATATTTCCAGAAAAAAAAACAGGTATTTCTGCATGTCTAAAAATCAGAAAATGTTTTTATGCCACAAAAGAGAGCTTGTGTCGAAAGACGGCCTGGGGGAGGCACTACTATAGGTCGATATACCCTTCACGGGTCAAAATAGGTCATCACTGGCGTACTTGAGGCCCAGGGGCGGTTCTAGGTCAGTGATAACTTCGGTATCACAGACAAGGCAGTCAACGAGAATAACTCTGATCCATTACCTTTTTTGGGCTGAGCACTTATTTTTAGTTACCAGTCATGCAAATGAAATTGACAGAAAACAAACAGACACAATACGCAGGCACACATCATTCATTCACATAAGTACTTTGCTTTTCATAACACACAAGCATATAATTGGGTGTCCAAACCAGTACTCCCTCCAGTCCTTTTTACTCCGCATGTAAGATTTGTCTGAAGTCAAACTTCACAAAGTTTGACTATACTTATATGGAAAAATATCAACATCTACAATACTATATTATGAAAATTAATTCATGATGCATGTAATGATATTGATTTCGTATTGTGAATATCGCTATTTTTTCTATAAAGTTGGTCAAACTTTACGAAGTTTGACTGCGGACAAATCTTATATGCAGAGTAAAAATAACCGGAGGGAGTACATTGAACACACTTCCTGGCAACATATGGAACGAAGTTGTAACTACAAAAATAAGACTGTTGTGATGTGCTCATATACTATGTCGTCGTCCTGAGTAGTCTACCCGTCTCTCCTTCTAATTTCATCTCCAGTACATCTTCGCATAGGTATTTTGTGATGTGCACAAAATGTGCTCATTAGAGAAGGTGTGCGATGGAGGAACTAAGACTTTGTCCTTTTATGGTGTGCACAAAATAGCTAACTGGCGTGTTGCCCCGTCCGAGCGAAACCAGTGGAGTGAGCCCACGTCAAGCTGGCCCGAGTGATGTAACCCTAGCTCAATCGAGTGTACAAGGTGAGCTAGGATGGGTATGGAGGGATCCAATACATTCTAGATGATCCTCGGGCTAGGATTCTCACCTACCACCATCTTCTTCCACTGCACCGCCAAGACCAAGAACTTGTAACCCAAGAAACCAATCTCCCAAGCGATCTTCCCGATCTCCGGTGAGTACTTGAGCCATACAACCACCAAAGGTAGGAGTATGGTCTTACCTCCTCCCGGAGGGCCCGAACCTGAGTAAATCGCCCGTCTCATGCCTTACATCTCGATCCACCACTTTCATCCCCTCTGAACAAATACTTCGTCGCTTGATGGCACTGCGGGTCTCAAGAACACACAGTGAAACACAGAGATTCGGGTCGTATTGGATCTGGGTCGTTACAGTTATCAGATATCGTCAGGTGCCCTTTGGGTGTCTTTTTCTTGGAAGAAAGTAACAACTGTGAACTACTATTTGCACATTAAAAACACAACTCCATCCATCACAAAATATGTGTCACAGATTTAATACAAAATTGTGCTAACTTTGTACCAAACCCGCGACACTTATTTTTGGATGGAGGGAGTAGATGTGAAAATTGTATGGTTGGCATGCAAGGCATGCTTTTACTTTCTATGGAGGGAGAAGAAACAGGCTGAGGTAGCACTGGTGCTAATGAAATTCACATTAGTGTTTGTGTGATTAATACGACACATGCAAAGTGACACTCGCTAGTGTTTGTGTGAGCACTGAACTGTGAAGTGCTATGTTATGTGTGTGTCATGTGTCATGTGTCCTGTGTCCTGTGTGGTTACATGTGCTTGCTGCTAGCTCTGGGTTGTCAGTAGTGGCTTTAGCAACTGGTGAAGATCGTACTGCCGAAGAG